GGAATTCAGATAAGAAAGAAAATCACTTGGATTAGTTCGTCAAAATAAGTGCTCATAAATGACTTATTTTGCAAGGCCAATTTTGTTTTTTAGACAAGTGTTTACTTGTCTATATCTTTACAAGAAATAGCTGACCATGAATACTGCAAACAAATGGCAAACATAAAGAATCGTTCTACAGGAGAATATAATGCAATGGCACATTTAACCAAAGGATACAATTAATCTTAATGAGAAAATGCTATTATGCAGAAATTTAATTATGAATAATTACATAATACAGGGTTTTAATTAATTGGATGAATCCAATTCTCTGCAACTTAATTTTTGCCATACTACTACCAGCAAAATCTCAAGGCAAAGCATTCATCTCATTATGTGTGTAATGTCTTCTCGGAAGCTGCTGAGGTGAGCTATCAAGAAATGAAAATGTGAAAGTTGATCATTCATTAAGTCACAACAATATCGTCCTCGTTAGGTACACTCACGTTGGCTCTGACTCACAGCGACTCTATGCACAACAGAACCACGCACTGCCCTGACCTTAGTCAAGGTAATAACATCATACAGTAAGACTTAATCCTTCACTACACTAGTATTTACTAAAATTATTTGAAGATGTCAAAAAGGTTGTATTAATATTCAAGACAGATCAAATATCTGAACAAAAACTTCTTAAAAAACCAACTACTAAAAAGATACACTTCACAAACACCATGATAATCATAGGAGTTGTCATTTACTGAGCATTTACTATTTGCTAGGCAGGCAGTTCTACTCTGTCCTACAGGGTCACCATGAATCTGAAACAACTGAGAAGCCCCTTAACAAGTACCCAGGGCATCAATGCTAAGTAAGCACTTCACATAATCACCTCATTTTAAATTTGAAATCAGGGAGAAGCAGGCATCAAGTATCAACTCATCTCAACATATGTGGCAACTAGCTTCTGGTTGTTACTGCCCAGGGTCTGACAGCTAGTGAGTGGAGGTGAGATTGGAATGCACTTTTGTGAGAATCCAAAGACAGGGCTCTGGTCCATTGAACCAGTGCTGGCTAACCTCCCGTCAATCACATCCTGGCACACACTGACAACGATCATATAAATAAGGCTCACGGGACTAAACTGAAGAGGTTTGGTAAAAAGCACATTTATTTTCTTTTTTATACTATGAGTTACAACAGGAAAAACAGAAGACCAACCTTTCAAATAAAGTATTTTCACACGACCAAGTTCAGTAAGTTTATAAAGGGAGCCATACCAAAAATGTTGTCTTTCAACTGTTCCAAATTTTTTTGATAAATTATAAAAATGATTTAAAATTTCAACACTATTAGTTAAAACATAACAAAAACACAAATTTTCAACATACAATTTTTGCCATTAGGATAAGCAATTCTACTTGCTGGCACACTAAGAAGCTTTGTACAAAATAATTTTGCCTGTCAACAGAATGACTGAATACAAATTTGGCCTGTGGAGATCTTCCCAGTAATAATTAAAGAAAATTAAAAAGAAAGGTAGACACCGGGAAAGAGAAGAGTTGAGTCTTCCTTAGCTAATAGAGCCCTCAAGGTTTCTGTAGCTATCTATAGTCTGAAGGGACTGTAAAAATTATTAGGAAAACTCCTATTATCTTTTAATTGCATAAAACTTTCTGAAGCCCCAATAGCATCAATTTTGACTTAATTACAACAACCAGAAACTCAGTAATCTAGTACTATATGCCCTCTTCTACTTGACATTATCATCATACTTAATCCCCAAGTGGTAATCCTATGAAATACCTCTATCTCCTCCATTTTAGAGACAAGGAAACGAGCACAGAGAAATTAAGTTTCCCAAGGTTATAGCCAGGTAAAGGAGAACTCGGTTTTTAAGCAGTCTGGCTTTAGGGTATATGCTGTTAACCACTATGGCAAAAATCTTCACAAGAATAAAAGTATTTACTGAGCAGCTATTTTGTTCCAGGAGACACCAGGGCAATGAGAAATAGATCTCTACTAAGTTTGATTGCTTCAAAGTGATTAAGTATAGACTACTTGCATGTGCCTCAAAGGAAGTATTCTGAAGAAAAAAGGGGTTATTTATATGCTGTGATGAGTGTACTTTCAGAAATAGCAGAGAAGATGGTTTAATTTCATATGTGATCTGATCCAAACAAGATCTCTGAAGCCTATTTAGTTTGTTGCTTTAACTTGCTAAAGAATTTTTTTTTAATCGTAATAACAAATACCAGTGGACCTCATGCCCCCTTTGCCATTAGATCAGAAGAACTCCACTGTGCCTCACCGCGATCAAATATTACACAGAAGGATCCTGATCAAAAGTGGGAAAATGCAAAACAGATTTTCAAATGCTCATGGACTCCAAATTTTCTGAAGCCATGGGGCTATATAAAGTGCTGAAACCACTGCCCTGAAATAATCTTAAAACACTACACCAAAACATCCCCTGAAATCATCCTAAACCAAATAGCTTATCTTAATTAGCAAAAAACAGAAACAGTCTGCCTTGAGAATTATGCTCTTTTCAAATCTTCTGTATAGGAACAAATGGACAGCAACTGGAAGGTCAGTGGGAACCCTAGAGGGCAGTGCATTCATATGACTGGGGAAGGAAGTGGCCGGAAAAGGTGTGTGTGTGTCAGGGTCACTCAACTGTACAAGTAGAAACAGGTGGACTTGTGTTTTACTGTGTATGTTCTCAAAAACAAAACAAAACTGAAAACAAATGCTTTTGTACTTTGGTTTTTATTTACTGCTTTTCAAGTTCCCTACACTACTATGGGTTGTTGTTTTCAATTAAGTCCATTATTTAATTAAATCCTGAATAAGCATTTTTCTAAACATTTGATAAGTTCTGCCTGGCCAATGCGCAATTTGAAAGGAAGTCCCACAGTTGACAACTACATTACAACAGTCTAAGATCTATCTGATGGTTGATGTAAATTAAAACACTCCTAAACGACGAGGATACACCTTCAATCTCATTATCAACAAATCAGTAATAAAAATTTCTTGAGTGTTGCGGTTTACATTTCTCCCAGGAGCAATGTCCAACCTTAGCTGGCTCATACTGGTGGGCAGCAAGGGTTTGAAGAAGCACCTTCTATGTGCCAGGGATGGTGCTCATCGCAATGATACCTGTTACACACTCCTTGTTGTCGAGGCAATTTGACTCACAGGACACAGTGGGACTGTCCATAGGGTTTCCAAGACTAAATCTTCACAGAAGCCAACTGCCACACTGTTCTCCCAGAGTAGCTGGTGGGTTCAAAACCACCCACCGTTCAGTTAGCAGCTGCACACTTAATCACTGTGCCAACAAGTTTCCTTACCTGCTCCATAGAGTGGCGATCTTAAGCAATTTTCTGTAAGTTAATATAGTCAAACTGGAAACCCCCAAGCTCCAATTCATAGCTTCCTCCCTATATTCAAACGAGAATCCAATCCTGGAGATGTAGTGGGCTAGGTGTGGGGTTGCTAACCACAAGGTCAACAGTTTGAACCCACCATTTGCTCTGAGGGAGAAAGATGAGGCTCTGGGCTCCCATACAGATTTGCAGCCTTGAAAACACACAGGGACCCTACAGAGTTCTACTCTGCCGTACAGGTTCCCTGTGAATTGGAATAACTCAACAGCAGATTGTCTTGGGGGGGGGGGGCTAGCGCGTGCGTGTGCGTGCGTGTGTGTGTGTGTGTGTGTGTGTGTGTGTGTGAGAGAGAGAGAGAGAGATTAAAAAGCAAAACAATTACCATGGGTTCTATAACCAACAGACAACCAAATACGTAAACATGAGACTAGCAGGTGCATCCCAGCACACCCTGAGCATAAAATGAAATGTGTTGGCTTATGGCAGTACCTTTTGTGGACGCTGCTTTACACCAAGGATTTGGTACTTCTTAAACAGCCTCAGAGGGCAGAAGACACCACCATAGCCTAAGGCTTATTTCATTTCTCCAAAAGGCAGTTGTTCTAAAAAGTAAAGTTCGAAAACATCTCTACTTCAACTTATTCTTCTCTAATGGAGCCCTAGAAAATACGATCAGTGAAGAAATGTTGCCTGGCTTCTTGGAAAGTTAGTGCCAAGATACTTCATAAATTTCCTGAGCTTCTAGAAGCCAGTCTCTTAAAATTTTCCACCAAAAAAAACAAAGCACTTCTGACTGTACATAAAAAGCTACCATAAGTTTGGGTTAGTGGAGGTGGTGGTCAGGTATAAACAGCAGCTCCTGGGGCTAATAGTTTTGTTTGAAACGACCAAAATAGACATAACCATTCACAGCCTACAGTAGGTATATCCAATTTCTGAATTTATCCTAACTCCTTCATTCTCATGGTACATCACACCTAGCAACTATTCAGCAACTCGAAAGGCACATTTTACTGCCTCTCTTTTGCCCCAAATTCCAAGCCAGCCGCTCTTTAAATTCCCTCAGCACTTGCCACTCTCGTTTCCCTCAATAAAACAGGGGCGCGGTCTTATAACTTGGGAATGAAATGACTGGGGAGAAGGAACAGAGACAGCCTCCTGCCACTCACACCTGATACTCGTCACCAACCGACAAGTTCCTGGATGTTCCGGGTTTCCTACACCTGACCAGCAATTCCAAATGCCCACTCTCCCTCCTCAGAGTCCTTCCGTGACCGCCCTGCCCCACTCGCTATTTCCATCGATCACTCGGACCCTGTCACGAACGATCACCATTCGACTACGTCCGTGCTCCGTACTATCAGCCCCCTGCGACTTCACACAAGCGTCCCTGCTACCCCTTCTGGTTCTACAACCCTTTCCTAGATTCCCAAGTCTCCAGTCGGCTAAGTCACAGCCCCGACAGCCCCGCCCCCTCCGCCACCACCCGCCCCAGCACCCCGCCCCAAGCCCGGCGCGCAAGGTCCTCCTGGGGTCTCTCCCCGCGGCCCGGGTCCGGCCCCTACCGCACGGACCAAGCGCCCGGGCCTCCCCACCACCCGCGGCCCCGCCCACGGCGCGTACCGAGCAGCAGCAGCTTCACTTCTTTGGCCGCCTTCTCCCCATCCACCCGCAAGTTGCGGTCGATCATCTTGCTCCGCTCCACCGCCGCCTTGTCCTCGGCGCTCAACGTGCAGCCCATGGCGGCGGCGAGAGGGGGGCCTGGGTCCGGGCTCACTCACACCGCGCGGACTGCGCTGCGGGCGGCCGAGAGCGTCTACGGCTGGGCGGCGTCCCTCCCCGTCAGCTCCCGGAGCGCCTCAAGGAGCCGGATATCCGGCGCTTAGGACACTTCCGGTGACGCCCCGCAGCCCTTGCCTCTCGAATCTCCGGGAGGGGGCGGAGCGACCGAAAGCGGAAGTACCGGGAGGGGGCGGGGCCGAGCGGCTGCGTTGACTTCCTGTTGACCTCGTTACGTTTCTTTCTCCCTTTCAGGCTGCCTTTTCTCTTTCTGCCTTAAATACGTGTCAGAAACCGGGGGGCTGGCCTCTCCAGCTCGTGACGCCCTCTGGAGATCACACAGACGGGCTTCGAAGGGTCACGGAGACGGCGAGGGGCAAGCCCGTGAGCCTTTGATCCCCGGTGCTGAAGACCCTGCGCCCCGGCCCAAGTACAGGACGCTTCATGCCAGGTCGTCTCGGTTGCATTTATAATATGGCAACAAACCGCCCAGGCCGGGTCCCCCGCCACGTCTAACACCGACGTGCTTAGGACTTTCGCCATCTCCTCATGCCCCTTTCTGTGACCCGCCACGTGCTGCGCTCCAAATGCATCCTGGTCCTTGTGCCGTGGGCTTGAGATTTGCCCACCACCTGAAACCGTTAACAGAGGTCTTACCATAGCCTGAAGGTTAAGCGTGTACCTCCTTTTCCATGAAATTCCCATGTTGCTCCGCTCGAATACAAGACAGTTTTAGAGTTTATTGATCGTCTTAGGTTAGACACGGCATTTCTGTTTATTAAACCTCAGTCTCCCCAAAAAACAAACTAGTGCTCCTTATGAGTGCCCTTAATTTGCTGTGAACCACAAAAATAGGGACATTCTAGTAAGGTTTGCCTTTCAGATCTAATGCCACCTGAACATCTCTGAAAAGCGCAGACGTCTTGTCTCTTCATTCAGAGACCTTTCGTCTCTTTCACTGGGTACGAGATGAAAGCAGCCCGACTTCTGTTCACTGCCCAATGCCCCACAAGCACCCTCAGCTTGCCTGCCAGGGAGAGGAATGTTTTGTGGCCCCCCCAAACTTTCCTTGTAATTAAAAACGAATTCTCTAATAGAATGACTCTTAAGATTGAAAGTACTCAACCAAAGTCTATGTGGTGATGATGATTAATGAGCAATTTCTCAAAGCCACATTAACCTAACCCACCAAAATTCTTATCACTGCCAATTCATCAGAGTTTGTATGACTGTTGGGATGACCACACATCTGACTTTCTGGGGAAAAAGGGCAAGAGGCAAGGGAGGAGAGAAACCAGTATTTATTGAGTACCTATTTGCCAGGTGCGGGCCATCTCTTGAAATCCTCACAACCCTGTGAGGTAGGTAACATCCCCATTTTTACAGATGAGGAAGTAGGCTCAGAGAAAGGAAGCAGCTTGCCCACACTCACACAGTAAGCAGATCTATCAACTCCAAGTTTGCCTTTTCTACTATGTCCCTATGTGTGGGGGCCTGAGGAGACCTGACTTGAGAGAGGTGGAAGTTCATCTTAAGATGGAAGGTCACCCCCAACATCACCAGCATGTGGGAGGGGGTGGAGTAAATGACGGAATGGTTGCCTGCCCCTCCTTGTGGATTTTTAGGGCTGGGGATTTCAGGAAGAGTTTGATGAACTAAAATTGCATATCAAAACTTTTCAAGCCATCCTGGTGCCCAGAAAAGTAAAAGGTGGCCATAGCAGAAAAGGTTGAGGACATTTTCAGCAGAGTAGGAGAGAAACTTTTATTTTCTTCATGATCCACTAAAGGAAAAATAAATGGCAATGAGCCCGTTAATGCCAAACTCTTAATAAACTCCCAAAGCGATCACAGTGTCGAGAAATTTCCACCTGAATTAGAAAGAGCTTTGCTCTTAAAACTTCCTCCTTTGATATATGTGAAAGACTACAGGGTAAAGGCAAAGGAAAGGGCAAAAATAAATTAATAAAATGGCTGCCAGGCAACGTTTAATTACACACACACACACACAAACGACTTCAATTGAACTCACACACACACACACACACACACACACACACACACACACACACGAGTTTAATTGAACTCATACTGCCACCTGCTGGCAGTATTTAGGATCTACTAGCTGGCCAGTGGTGTTCTGAGGTTTTCCCCTTAGCTAGGAATTAGATTCCTCTGTAGGATTTTGTTAGAGGAGAGAGGGCCATACAAACATGTTATTCAATCACGAACCCACTGTATATACTACTTAAAAAATGTATTTTCTCAGTGTAATAGGCACTAGGCTGGAGCAATAACTGGAAATAGCAATAACTGGAAAATAGAAACCTGGCAATGGTTCTAGGTGAATGGGGAAAGCTATGTCTGCCCAATTTCATTTCATAAATCTTTTTTATTTCCAGTAAAGTTTTCTTTTACATCCCCACCACCATCACTACCATTTCCACAATTGTCAAGAAGTCTTCAGGTGGATCTATAGCTGCAGGAAACCGAACTCTCGCGTTGTAACCATGGATCTCCTCTCTAGGGTACTGCTCAGATTATTTCTCTATGGTGTTTGTCAGCTGTAAGTGCTCTATAAAAATATAAAGTATCTGATCAAATTAGACTGAACGGCTTGGAAGCAGTGACCCCACATGCTTTGTGTGGGCCCCAGAGAATGGTGGGTGTTCAACGAGTGTGCACTGGCTTGCACTGACGAAGTCAATGTTGATATCACTATCGCTTTTTATAATAAAATTATTTATTGGCTGCTCAGGAGAAGTGAGCCCATTCCCACCAGCCCATGTACCCCTTTGATGCTCAAGGAGCCACGCGTTTGTTCAAATACAGACCTCGCCACTTCCTGGTCCTACCGTGACCCCTGTGAATCACCTGATTCTGTTAAGGGAAATGGGGCAGACAGGGAGTCCCAGGTGGATACCCTGTCGAGTCTGAAACTATTCCTCCTCCCTTGGAAATGTGGTTGGTCAGCACACTGGCCATCAATACCAAAGAACAAGGTTCTTCCCATCTCCATCCGCCGGGCAACTCCTGTGCCTTCCCTCCCACCCAGGGCTGCAGGGAGGAGAGAGATGTGTGTCTTTGTCAGTGATGCTAATTTTGAGAACGATGAATGGGAGTAGAGAGGCATTTAGCAGACCATGGAGACCCCGCCCTTCCCCATGCCCAACCTTAGTCTCTTGCACCCGATTGTCCAGGGGGCTGGAGGTGGGTCACTGCCATGAGGAGAGAGATCGGGGAGGCCAGTCCTGGAAGGAAAAGATGATCAATATTATTGATCAGGGTGGTGACCTGGACTCTCTGTACCCCCACCCTCAGCTATCCCACTCCCAATCTTTCCAGTCCTTCATCCTGAGAGGCCAGGAAGTCCATCCTGTCATGGATCCCACATGCAGGAGAGACAGCAGGGCAGCGGGGCTGCCCCTAAAGGTGGAGGGGCAGCCGCAGGCAGCCTTCCTGTCTTCTCTGCCACGTGCCCTGACTGCTGCTTCCCTTTCCTCAGGCCAAGCCCAGAAAACTGTGGCAGGAAGCTCATTCCCCTCACCTGAGGGGAATCTGTTAGAAGAAAAGGCCCTGTCAACTCCAATGGAAACACTTGGCTGGCCCTTCGCGATCCTTTTCAACCCAACCAGGAGGACCTCAGTGGCGCAGGGGTTAAGGGCTTGGCTGCTCGCCGGGAAGGCCGGCAGTTTGAACCACCAGCTGCTCCACGTGGGAAAGGCGAAGCCCGCCCTCCCATAAGGATCCAACCCGGAGACCCTATGGAGCAGTTCTGCTCTGCCCTGCGGAGTCTCTCAGAGTCGGAATCTGCGCGACAGCCACGGTGTGGGGTTGAAACCTAGTGAGGCGAGGAGAAGACAGGTGGTTTTCTGTGACTTGCTTGGACGCAGTGACTACCCTGGACAATTATACCGCAAAATAAAACATCCAGAGCGGGGGGGGGGCCCCCCCACACAACCCAAACGTAGCCTGCTGCCCCGGATGCTCCAGCTCCTGTGAGCAAGCTTACTGGTGAAGAGGCTTCCCCTCACCTTTGTGACCCTTTCCTCTCATCACCGTCTCATACCCAGGTTTACTACCCCAGGAGTCAAGGATGCAGCCAAGTCCAAGGCCATGATGTCACACCTCCGGCCAGCCGGCTGGCTCTTCTTCTTGACCCAGGAAATGCTAAGCAAAAGCTGTATGCAGAAACCCCAGCCCCAGCTGGGAAAAGGTGATTCCACAAGGTGGTCCTTGATGCCAGAACCAGCCCAAGCCCCGTGGCCCGCCAAGTGCCCATCATGATTCCAGCTGGGCCGAGGGGGCAGGATGGAGGCAGCCGTCTGACATGGTGATGTCACTGGTGAGTTGCTGTTCCAGGAGTTCCGAGGTCTCCTCCGCTATCTGGCCTGGAATTCGGAAGTCCACTGCAGGCGGCTCCTGCTTGGGGCTGGGTAGGGGTCGGGAAACCCAGGACTCCACGGCACAGCCTGTCCCCTGAAGGAACTGCAGGAAGTTCTCCTCAATTGAGCCTTCCCGGCTGGGCAGCCTCAATTCCTCCTCAGGAGCTGGCTTGAAGAAGCAGACAAACTGCTTGCTTAGCTCCCCGCGGATCTGTCGGTTGAGACATCCATAGAAGAAAGGGTTGGACGTGAAGCAGAAGTAGCCGATCCAGGTGACCACACTCTCCACCTGTCCTGCTGAAATGGGCTGGGCGCTCAGGGCAACGTAGAGGTGGAAGGAGAAGTAGGGCAGCCAGCAGAGCAGGAACTGCCCCCCCACGGCCAGGAGGATCACGGCTGCCTTCCCTCCCCCAAACGTCCGGTGCGGGGTGGTCTGGGGAGCACCCAAGCTGGTGACCATGGTGGAACGGCTGCTGAGAGACTCTGAGCGTTGCCGGGGGGTCTCCATCCACGTGGGCAAGGGCCCGTGCTGCATGGCCGCCACGCGGGCCACCCGGAACATGCTGCAGTAGACCACCAGGATGAGCAGCAGGGGCAAGAGGAAGTAGAGGACGGCGAAGACCACCACAAAGAGCTGGCAGTAGGCACTGCGGCTCCACTGGAGCGAGCAGCCGGGGGGAATGCTGGGGGCGGCCTCCTCCCAGGACACTCTGCCCAGCACTGGCACCGAAGCCATGGCCAGGGCCTTCACCCACACCCCCACCAGCACAGAGGCCACCAGGCCCAACGTCATGCGCACCTCGTAGCGCATGGGGTGGACCACGTAATAGTAGCGCTCCACATTGATGGCGGACACGGAGAGAATGGCCAGGCTGACAAAGCAGATGCTCAGAAACAAGTAGAGGCGGCAGGCGACCTCCCCGAAGAGGTCCTGGTCAAAGAGGGCAGAGCTGGAGAGCATGGCTAGGGGCATGAGGGTCAGGGCCGCCAGGAGGTCCACCAGGCAGAGGTGGAAGACGAAGACGAATTTCCGGAGGGCTGGCGTCTTAGCAATAACAGCCATCACGGCGGCGTTGCCAGCCACGGCCGTCAGATCCAGCAGGAGCATGAAGCAGAGGGCCACAGATTCCGAAGCCACGTCCCGCAGCCCCACGTCTGGGACCCCACTGGCAGTTGAGGGGCCTGGGGTCTGAGGGGCCCTCCCCAAATTGGAGGAGTTCCCGGATGACTGGGGAATGGGTGAGGACTCCATGGGGCCAAGAGAGGACACCCAGGGCACCTCCGGTCACAGGCCCATCCCCCATCCTAGTCCAGCAACCCTGGGATGGCCAGCCCTGGCCCAGGCTTCCAAGTGCGTGGGGGGCACCTCTGGCCTGAGCCTCTCTGGCCTGTTCGGGTGGCCAGCCTTGCTGGCTGAGCTCTTCCGGGGACACTGCGCCAGGCTAGGCGGCGACGGGCTCACGAGCTCATATTCCCTTTCCGTCCGAGGCAGCCCAGGTGTCCCCAAGGGGGCAGCCGAGGGAGCCCCGCTCCCTAAGAGCACCACCTCCTGCGTGGTCTCGGACTTCTTCCCTTCCACTTCTCTTCATCCGTCCTCTACGCCTGCCTCCCCTTCCAAGACAGTGATCCTGGGTCCTCAGTCCCGCCTCTCCCTTCCCCGGGCTTCTCTTGCGTGCTCCGAGCGTGGAGATGGTTCGTGTGATTTCCTGAGGTCTGGTGCTTCAGGAGGGCAGCGGCTTTCTGCCCAGGAGGCCAAGGAGCTCACGGTTTGGTCTCCAGTCCCAGGACTGGGGCTGACGGATTGTGCGGCTTCGAGGCTGCAGCTCCTTGACAAAGGGACCTGTAAAATGAATGGAACAGGGCCGACTTCACAAGTGTGTTTGGAGAATCCTGGAAGAGGCAGTCAAAAACATAGTGATTCTAAGGAGTAGTACTGTATATGGGGCCCTGGTGGTGAAGTGGGTTACACGCTGGGCTGCTAACTATAAGGCCAGCAGTTCAAACCCACCAGCCACTCCTCTGGAGCAAAAGGTGGCTTTCCTACTCCTGTAGAGAGCTAGGCTCGGAAACCCACAGGAGCAGTTGCACCCTGCCCTGGAGGGTCATTTCGAGTTGACAGACTGGAGGGCAGTGTTTGCTTTATTGGGGTGGTTTTGTTTTTGAGTACTGTGTGTACGGTGCTTGCTACGTACATGCCAGGCCTGGCTCTAAACACTCCATACAGATTAGTATTCCCAGAGCAACCCTGTGGGACAGATATCATACTGGCCGATCCAAACACACTGCCACTGAGCCAATGCCAGCTCACTGTGGCCCTAAGCAGCGGCTGCTCTGTAGGAGGAAGACGGGGCTTTCTGCTCCTGTGGAGTGACATTCTTGGAAACCCACAGGAGCGGTTCTACCCTGCCCTATAGGGATGGACGTGGTGCGTCGGCACCACGTCGATGGCGGTGAGCTCTCCTCACAGGTGATGAAAACAGGCCTAGCGAGGTTAGGTAACTTACCCAAGGCCACACAGCTAGCTAACGGCAGGATCTGAGCACACACTCAGACAGCCAGGTTCCGGGTCCAGTTCTCGTCCCCTGTGCCATGCGGGGCACGAAGGTGCCCTCCAGCATGGTTGTTTTTTGTTTGTTTGTTTTTTAGGGGGCGGGGAGCGCAACAGACACTAAGTAAATGTTACTGAGTTTCAGCCATCACTTAAAACTGTCACTCCTGGCTCTAGTGGTACCCCTGGGAAGAGATCATCTGAAAACAGGAAGGACTGTGCTTTAGGCTCCTCCCCCTCACCCCCAACCCATTCCAAGCACGAAGGGCAGCCACTTTGCACTGGAACATGTTAAGAAGGACTAAACACATTTTTTAATTCGCAACCATTGAGTCATACTGACCCCATAGGACAGGCTAGAACTGCTCCTGTAGGTTCCCAAGACTGCAGTTCTTTACAAGCATAGATAGCCTTGCCTTTCTCCTACAGAGTGGCTAGTGGCTTTGAACTGATGACCTTGTGGATAGCAGCCCAATGCATAACCACGATGCCACCAAAGCGCCTTCCAGGGGGCAGTGAGAACAAAGGGTCCAGCTGGATTCGTCCAGCCTCCACTGTCCTGATGCCAGAAGGTAAAAAAGCCACCTCACAACTGCCTGTGTCCACCCACTTCTGCAGGCCACCATGCCCCCGTGGCCCCTCTCAGCGCGCTCTGACCTCGGAGGAGCTCTGCCCCGTTTGCTAGCTCCTGGAGAGGGCCCGAGCAGGGAGCCATCCTGGTGCTGCCACCGCCCCACGGCAAGGAGAGGGGGAGCAGGCACCAAGGTAAGAGGGCGAGGGCACGGACAAGTGAGAGTGGGCAGATGCCTGCCATCTCGCCAGTGGATGAGCAGGGAACAGGAAAGACGATGGCAAGGAATTGTGAGCGAGGAGGTCTGCTGTCAGCATCCCTCGTTTCTCCTAAGCTGGGAGGGTATTATGTGGTTCTTGATCTGTGCACCCCACCTCACTCCCACCACACCTGTCTCCTGTGCGTGCATATTACGTGTGTGTGCTCCCTACTTGTGTGGGAAAATACAGTCGTTGAAATAGGTTACCCAATGTAACGTAAAATATTTTCCCATTCCCCTGCTCTGTTCTTTTTCTTTTTTTTTTTTAGGGGTTAGCGTGAACCAGTCCCCCACTACCACAAATTATGCAGTCGAGTTTCCCACATTTGGGGAAATCGCAGGAGTCAGCACACCTGGAGTGCAATGGGTGAGCCTCGCCCTGGGAAAACCACCTTCGTGATCATGGTATCTCCCCTGCCAGGTAAGTATTCCCCTACTCTGTTCTAATAGTCCAGCCTCCCCAAGTGCAATGTGCTAAGGTGTGCTAAGGTGTGCACAGTGGAGGCCTTTCTCTAAGCAAGTCTCAGGTTCCCTGGGCCGCCATTTCCCCATCTGTAACATGGTGGGGAGGAGGGGGGAGGTGCTGGACGGGAATACCCCCAGGGTTCTACGTATGATAACATCTGATGACCCTGCTCTCCTGAGCTGGAGAAGAATGGTGGTGATGCTGCATAAAAACCCATCCTTCCTTGGACTGCAATGAAGAGGATGCGTGGGGCAGATGGGCCCCTCTCCTCCATCCTTGCAGTCACCCCTGGTAGGATGGACAGCCCAGGGGCTGTCACGCTAATCTGGCTCCTAGTCTGCTGTGCACACCATCAGGGCTCAATGCTATCTTGTGAGTGGACTGGAACCCCAGGTGATCCATTGAATCCTGACTCCAGAACACACTCCAGAAAGGCTTGGCCACTCATCTGTGTGCCAGCCAGTGGACTCTCTTCCGGAAAGGGTAAGCTCAGCCCTGATACTAGGACGGCTGCCTACAGATGCTCCCTTCTCCGGGAACAGGAGAAGGCCCATGCCACAGTTAATATGGCCACTGAGCCCCAGGGTCTGCAGAGAAGAGGAAGAACGAGGCCCACCGTGGGTGCCTCCGCGCCTCTTCAAACAGTTGACAAGGACCAATGGCAGAAAGAACTATCCCAGGAGACTTCCTCACCCCGGTGTCCCCACGCTGAGGTCTCCGCCGTCTCTTCCACTGTAAGTGGAGCCCGGAAGGAGGGAGGCCTGGTAGCTGTTGTCACCAGCAATGCCCAGCTCAAAGGGAAGAGAAAGGGCCACCATGTCTGGATGGACATCAAAGAGGCCGATGCAGCAGGCCCCTCGCTGGGTCCCCACCCGTGGGGAGCAGACGGGGCTTCCACGTGGCGGTGGCGAGGGCCCGCGCAGCCATGATGGAGCCTCGGCAGGAAGGCACCGGACAGGTCTCGCCGCCACGGCCCCCGCAGCCTGGCCTCTCCCTCCACACTGACGCCTCAAGTCCAGGATTCCAACTGACCTCCTGGCAGAAAGAAGGAGAATAGCCGGGGCCTCAGCACTCCTCTCGGACAGAGGGGAGGGCGGGGGAGGGGGGGGTACCGGTGTCTGAGGGGGAAACCCGGGGAGCCTCCTCCCCACCGAGCTCCTGTCACCAAGTCTTCTAACCCAATAGATGCTGCTGTCCCGCCCCACCTCCAGTCCCTGATGGCTTCCCCCTCCCACCCCAGGCCCCCTCAATCACTTGGCAGGGTTGGCCACCATAGGGCCGACATCCGGGCCTCCTGCAGGGACATGGCCAAGTTACAGGCATCCTGGTTTCAGGGTACAGGATGGCCTGAGCCCTAGAAGAGTGCCCAGCCCAAGGCCACAGAGGGGTAGAGGGGATTCGAATACACAGCACCCATCCCATGAGCCCCAGGCTGGCTTTTCCCTCGGACAGGAGCTTGGCAGGAGCTTGCTTCTCCCGAGCTGCAGATGATGCCTTCCCAGGGAGCTCTGCTCTAACACCCCTCCCTAGCAGAGGTGCCCACCCACCGGCCTGGCTGCCGAAGGACCTATTCCTAGGGCGTGGGGGACCCATCTCGATGACACAGAGCAAGATGGATGGAGAGCCCTGTCTCCTGTCCTCTTCTGTTTGCAGGAGATGGAGACACCTGCCGGCAGATCACCTCCCCCATCTCCAGGCTTCGGAGCTGCCTACACCCCAGTACTGCCTTCAGAATACCTGGGAGCCCATCCCCTGACAAAGCTGCCCGCCATAAGGTGTGGTGGGCTGGTCTTTGGGGTGCAGAGCATCTGTAGGGCACCTGAGCCCTCCCCACCAGGCCTGGGGTCTGGCCCCCATTCCTGGCCTAGTCGGCAACTCCTACCTTTGCTGAGCAGCTCCCGACTGGCTCCCATGTGATAGCTGCTCTCAGCTGATGCTTCTCCAAGGCTGCTGAAGCCTTAACCACTGCAGTGAGCACTGAGAGGCAGGCGGCAGGGCAGGATGCTTCCACAGCTTCTGGGTCCTAATGGCCTCCTGCTTCCCTCCCATCCCTTTGGAGCCACTCCTGGAGCAGGGAACAGGTGCCCATGGCCCAGGCAAGACACCAGGGCTGGCCACAGCCTCCCTCACTTTCCTCAGGTTGTTCCAGCCGCATCTCAAGAGCCCAGGGAGTCCAGGTGATTGTGGGCGGAGAGGCCCTCCCGGTCAGGTTGACGCAGTAAATCAAACACTTGGCCTTAGAAAATCCAGGTTTAAGATCTGGCGTTGGCACGTCCTAGCCAGGGGATCTTGGGCAATTCACTTCTCCTCTCTAGCCCCAGTGCTCTTCTCTGTTCAGAGGACAGAGGAAGGAGAATCCCTTGGCGGCTCCTTAAATCTGTGCTGAACCAGGGTGCTCTGAGCAGAACCCACGGGGCCACAGGGCTCAGCCTGGCAGGGGCTGCGGTTCCAGGGATGCCCCATGACGGCTCCTGCGTGTCTACAGAGGACACGGGTAGGAATGGCAGCTGAATTCAAAAGCAAGCTACAGGACTTGTCTTCACCCTGCACCTGCCTCCCATACCAAGCACATCGTCATTTTTATCACTTCATTGGATGGCAGGGCTACTTGTGGGCACTGGAGGAAATAGAGGGATCTAGCACCACCACCACCACTCCGCCGTGGCCGCCCCACCACTCTGGCACCACCTAAAGGCAGAAAAGGCCAGTTCCCCAGGAAGGCACAGGTGGGTTTGGATTTGTGAGTGGACAGAGCAAGAGAGCATGGCCCTCAAGCTCAGAAGCAACAAAGCCCACATGGAAGAAGCACACCAGCCTATGCAACCACGAGGTGTTGAAGGGATCAGGTGTAAGGCATCAT